CTCTTCTGGATTATTCTCTTGTTCTTTCATCTAGGGTTGTTTCTTTGTTTCCTCATTTTGGCTGCCTATTTGGGTTTGTGACTATGTATTAGGTAGATCTGCTATGCCTCTCAATCTCTAGTGCAGGATAGCCAAATGACTCAAAGAATCCAGAAACTGCTTCTGCCTACAGACTGATAGGATTCCATCTTGAATAGCCCTCAGGCAATCATCCAAAGGTGTGGTGAGAGATTTTTCAACAGGGTGGGGCAGTTGCTTCTGCCTGGAGACTAATTGTTATTCTCAGTACTCTTTTTATTTTTATTTTGTTTTATTGCTTAAAGTATTACAAAGAGTATTACATATGTCTCCTTCCCCCCCCTTGACATTCTCCTGGCCTCCCCTACCCCCCAGTGTCTTGTATCCATTGGTTATTCTTATATGCATGCACACAAGTCCTTCGGTTGATCTCTTACCGCCCCCCCCCCCAACCCTCCCCAGGGCTTCCCACTGTAGTTTGACAGGCTGGTCAATGCTGCTCTGCGTCTGTATCCATTTTTGTTCAACAGTTTATAATGGTCTTTATTATCCATAAATGAGGGAGATCCTGGGGTTTTTTCTTTCCTTGGCCGGCTTATCCAGTATGGAGTTTTCTCAAAAAGTTAAAAATGAACTCCCATTTGACCCAGTGATCCCACTTCTAGGAATATATCCCAAGAAAACAGAAACACCAATCAGAAAGGATATATGCATTCCTATGTTCATAGCAGCACAATTTACCATAGCTAAGATCTGGAAACAGCCTAAGTGCCTATCAGCAGATGAATGGATTAAAAAACTGTGGTACATCTACACGATGGAATACTATGCTGCTGTAAAAAAGAAGGAACTCTTACCATTTGCAACAGCATGGATGGAACTGGAGAGCATTATGCTAAGTGAAATAAGCCAGTCAATGAAAGAAAAATACCACATGATCTCACTCATTTATGATAATATTCTCAGTACGCTTAATGGGCCTCAGAAACTCTGCAAAGTGGGGCAGGGTGCTTTCCAATAGGGTGGGCCAAGTGCCTTTCTCCCAGACAAAGCTGCCTGTATAACAAATGTCCGCATGAGAAAGATGATCTCTGCAGCTTGAGGGAACTGGGGTGTCTGCCTTCTGAGCTCTAACCCCAGAGACCCGATCCTGGCTTCTGCTCACATAGTTCTTGTCCACTCTGCCCTCCCTCTGCCTGAGCACAAAGTGAGTGTCTCCACAGGGAATTTTGTGTGTTGGCTTTTTAAGAGGGTGCCTGCATTCCAGCCATCACTCCCTGGCCAACAGCAACCCTGCTGCTTTTCACAGACGCGGCAGTTTGAGCAAGCCTAATCAAAGAAACCA